AGCACTTATGCAGCTACCCAGATACACGAACTTCTCAACTACGTCTATCTGCTCACCGTCCAGGGTGAGTACAGGATTAGAATCCTGCCAGTCTTGTAGAAGTACTTTGCACTTCGAAGGTGCAAAGCACATACCATACCTACGGACACTGATTGCCAACTGATTAAGTGCGGATTGCATGCCTTGGGCATTATCGCACAGTAAGACAATATCGTCCGCATACTCAAGGTCGAGAAGTCTTTCTCCAGGCAACAGATCCACACCACCATTACTTACATTCATCAGAGCTGTTTCCAGAATGTCATCGATGGCAAAGTTGAAGAGGAATGGTGAGATTGGGCAACCCTGCCTAACCCCACTGCTCGAATGGAACAATGGAGAGAGGTGGTTGTATGCCCTCACTCTGCCTGAGGTGTTTTTATACAGGGCTTTTAGGATGTTAATAAACTTCTCAGGCACACCCTTCTTCAATAGACAATCCCAGAGAACAGTCCTATCCAACGAATCGAAGGCAGCCCTGATGTCAAGAAACACTACGATTGTTGGCCTTTGAAAAGTATGGCGGTGTTCTAACATTTGGCGGAGGGTGAAGATATGATCAATACATCCTCGACCAGAACGAAACCCAGCCTGCTCCTCGCGAGTCAATCTTTCTCGGGTTTTGAACAACCTACGAAGAATGACGGAAGCCAATAGCTTGGACGCAATCGGAAGTAAACTTATCCCCCGATAGTTGTTACAAGAACGACGTGAACCCTTTTTAAAGATAGGGACAACTATCGACTCATTCCATGACGTTGGTACACTCTCTAGTTCCCAAACCTTTGTAAACAACGTCGTCAATTCCTTAGTCAAAAAGTCACCACCATCTTTAAAAAGAGCCGGAGGTAAGTCATCTGGGCCAGGTGATTTGTAACGCTTCAAGAGTTGGAGTTCCTTGCGGACTTCCTCCTCATTTGGTGGATCAGTCGTCACCGGCCATGGAGGGCAGGACAGTCTGACCGATGTTGCCGGAGCAGCAGGCCAGTTGAACTGCCCTTCGAAAAATTCTGCCCATCGTCCAAGACGTCGATGGATGTTAGTGATTGGCATCCCATCATCCTCGCAGATTGTTTCACTCACACCAGACTTCTTGCTGCCAGTGGCTCGGATGAGTTGGAAGAGCTTCCGGTAGTTACCAGATGCAGCTGCTGCTTCCAGCTCATTAGCACGCATCGACCACCAGGCTTCTCGGTCCTTACGCAAGCTTTGCCCGATTTCCTTACGTAACATCCTTCGTTTATGGTCAAACTCACGGTCACCCGGAGTAGACCGACGGGCTTCAATGAGTTGTAAGGAACCAGAAGAAACCCAGTGCTTAAAAGCGGGACGTTTCGCAAACCCACAACTGACTGTTCCCGCCATTTTCATGGCGTCATGCAATTGCAACCAATGCTCATCTATACTTTTCGGTGGAGTGGTAGCTAGCCTAGAGGCTAGCTCGGTTCGATACTTACTTGCAACAGAGGTTGCAACCAGCTTGCTAACATCAATCCGTTGATGGCGATCACTTCGTTGTCCACTGAAAAGTAAGGCAAGATTGGCGCAGACCAAGGCATGGTCAGAGTCCAGATAGGTACTCCAAAAGGAGTGGCAGTCTTGTACACAACCACACCAGCGGTAGCTGATCGCGATGTGATCAATCTGAGTCCAGGCTTGAGATGCAGAGGGAGGACGCCAGGTGGCACATCGGCGATGACTGTGCCGAAAGTTAGTGCTAGCCAGAAACAGGTTGTGGTCTGTGCAAAGTTGCAGTAGACGGTCCCCGTTATCTGACCTGCGACCAACGAGTCCCCATCGGCCACCTAAACGACTCTCTTCTGTGCCTAGACGCCCGACCTGAGCATTCAAGTCTCCGGCTAGTACTACAATATCTGTCGAACGCACTTTCTGGAGAAGAACTGATAACTGGTGGTAAAACTCATCCTTGATTGCATCCGGGCTGCAATCTGTCGGGGCATAGGCGGAGATGACGAAAAGACATCGTTTCTCACGCCGATTTCTTCTCACTTTGATGGAACTTTCTAATCTAACAGCACATAACCGACTGTTAATGGGGATCCAATCGACTAGTGCTGCCTCAGCTCTAGCGCTTAGTGCGACACCAACGCCAGCAAGACCAGACGAAGATGCCACAGGGTCCCCGGATAAGCGCACGTAAAACAAGCTTTTCGAAGCGACAGATGGAGATCGAATTTGTAGTACTTCGCCAGAGTCTTGAATACGGGTCTCGGATAGACAACACACGTCGATATTAAGACTTTCCAAAGACATAGCCAGCCCTATCTGTTGTCCGACCTGCATAAATGTGCGAACGTTGAAGGCAGCCAGTTTGAATGGTGCACGTGGTTTCAGAAAATCTGCTTCAGTCCTCGTATTCGGTGGTAACATACAATTTTCAACCGGACAGTGACTCGAGAACGTTTAGATACAGTCGGAATTCCACCAAAGACGAGCCGCTGTATAAGTATAAAAGAGGGTGAATAATGTGGAAAATAATAATAATAATGATAATAATAACAATAATGACAATAATAGTAGTAATAATAATATTAGTATTAATAATGACAATAATTGTAATGATAATAATCTGAATCAATTGTTTGTTTTTCAAAGCGACAAAAGTAATTTCCATAGACATAAAGCGTTCATCATTTGTGTGTGGGCTGTGATACTGCCCGGGTGCCCAAACCGAAGCAGGTGGTTATCTTAGGGGGCCACTCCCCGAGCCTTTGACCTAAAGGTCTAACCCACAAGGCAGTGGAGCATCGTAAGGAGATGCAGTCCCATGGTAGCCGGTGACCAAAGATTGGTTCATACGCCATTCGTTCCCGCAGGATACTGGAGCCCATGTGCACCATTGATTTGGAATCCGGTTAAAGCGCCGGACATTCGCTTTTCGTCCTCTCATTTTCGTAAACAACACCCCCGCCACGAGAAGGCAATGAGTAGGACTTCCCTGGCAGAGGCTGTATACGCGTGGCCGTGTGAGAGTATTTCGAGAGGGAGAGCGGACTCTCCCCACTCTCGGCCGTACCAGGGCATTCAGGGGGCATATCGGAAAAAGACGATACTCTCATCTGCTCACAGTCCAGACGTTTAGAACGATGGGCGGAACATTTCAGAGAACAGTTCAACTGGCCTTCAGCTACTCTACAACTACCCTCCATTCCCAGACAGTGTGAATGGAACATTGAAGTAGGTCCCCCAACTCTTGTTGAAGTTCAAAAGACTAGTTAATCTGAAACGAGGAAGGGCAGCTGGCCCAGATGGATTGGCTCCAGAGGTCTTTAAGGATGGTGGTTGACTAATATTTTAGCTAAGATCTGGGAGTTAGACGTTATCCCATCTAACTGGTCACAATCACTTATCGTCCCAATATATAAGAAAGGGTCAAAATCATCCTGTGACAACCACAGAGGGATTAGTTTAACTAATATAATATCTAAAATACTAGCCTCGATAATTATCAGACGCCTAACTAAGACTCGTGAACTGCAAACACGAGAGACTCAAGCTGGCTTCAGACCTGGTCGTGGCTGCATCGACCACATATTCACCATTCGTCAGATTCTAGAACACAGGCATACTTATCGGCGTCCGACAGTGGTGGTCTTCGTTGACTTAAAAGCAGCATTTGACTCGGTAGACCGCGAGATTCTGTGGCAGTGTCTGCCAGTGAAAGGCGTAACTCAGAAGTGCATAAACCTTGTAAAGGCTCTTTACTCGAACACTACTAGTCGAGTCAGAGCTTATGGCGAACTGTCATCTGCTTTTGCAACCTCAAGTGGTGTCCGTCAAGGCTGTCAACTATCTCCATTTTTGTTTAACTTCATCATAGACCTACTGATGGGAATAACATTCTCGTCGACTGAATTCTCGGGCATTGATCTCCTTCCAGGAGGTCCACTTATCGACTTAGAATACGCAGACGACATAGTCCTGTTTGGTGAAGACGCTGATAAAATGCAGAGTCTTTTGGTAGCACTAAGTAACAGTGCCAAAATGTTTGGAATGCGCTTCTCTCCCTCCAAATGCAAGTTGTTGCTTCAGGACTGGTTTGCGTCAACACCTGAATTAAGGATAGGGAGTGAAGTAGTTGAACGCGTTGACAACTTCATTTATCTTGGGAGTCTGATCAGCCCTAATGGGTTGGTGTCTGACGAAATCTCAGCACGAATTCGAAATGCTCGTTTGGCTTTTGCCAACTTACGTCACCTATGGCGAAGGCGAGATATCCGTCTAAGTCAGTTGATGAGGTTGTGAATCTTCATCGACTGAGATGGTTGGGTCACGTGTTACGTATGCCTGAACACCGATTACCACGAAGTGCAATGCTAACCGATGTTGGAGATGGTTGGAAGAAAATTAGGAGCGGCCAAACCAAAACGTGGCATCAGTGCTTGAAGACACTAACCTATAGTCTGAGCCATGTTGGTAGATGCAGACTACTTGTTTGGGGTCCGCGTGACTATCGTAACCAATGGTTGGAGACTGTTGGTGACATGGCTCAGAATCGATCACAATGGAGTCAGTGTATACACTCTCCGTCTTCCCTTAAACTAAGAGATTAAAATCGCTTCATATCATTCTTTCTACGAACTAATTCTTTCTTTCTGTACTATATCCTTATTGCAATCTTTCTTTTATATATTACCACCATTGACTTAACCACTCCTGTGAATCCGGTGTTCATCTTGCTGTGCTATTGCGGTATGGCAACCTGGACCGATGCATATATGTGCCTGGTCCTACGTTGTAGCTGACTGACTGACTGTTTTTACTAATCTCTTTGTCACTATATATGTAAATTTTACATGTAGCGTAATTATGATTGACACTTAACATCAAACATTTGTGCGTATTTGTTTTCATTTTCATGACATGTTTGTTATATAAATCTAGCAACATGTTTATTAACGATTTAGTTACGTAACCACAATCTTTCGTGATTTTCGTAGATGAATGTGATTCCGATAAAGCTCCTGTTGTTGGCGATCTCGTTACAGATAGAGGTGTGGTTTTTATCAGGACAAATCAGAACCCTATCCGACAAAATTCTGCAAAGGGTAGGTGCCTTACGTTATTCTAATATATTGAGATTGCAAATCAAACTCACCCATGAATAAGCATACGTCTTAAATTTTTTCCCCACCTATTCGACGTGGTTTATTTGTCGTTATCTACAAATCTGAAAGTAAGCATATATCTAAAGAAGTGTTTGTTCGATTAGTTGTACTATGTGGCGTGTTTAACGGTACAGTTTTATTGCTACTTCTGTTAAGATTTCAAAGAAGTACGATATTTCCATTTCGTGGATGGAATTTTCATTTTCGACATCCCATCTTACTAATGATTTATTGTGTCCATCTTCTTTGAAGACTTTTGTGAAAAAAGTCCTTAGATTTGATTTTATTGTTTACCATATTCGCTGACAAATAGAGCCATTATTGAAGGATCAAAAATTATTTACGTTTCATTTAATACACATTATTCTTGCTTCAGTAGTATCAAATCGTCTCCATCGACTCAACATAGATTGGATAACGATGTACTAAACTTGTATAAATGAGAGTAAACATCTTTTTGCGTAAAATATCGTAATAGATTGATGTTAACCGAAGCACTCTGTGAAAAACTTAAGGATCGAATATATTATTTTCATCATTATCTCAATTTGTGAAGAACTATTGACAAGCAGATAGGAATATATATGTTCCGAATTAATTTGAGACCCTTGATCATTGAGGACTCATAGCTCTATACAGACTGAACATAAGCGATGCATGAAGGTTTCACAGTGAATACAGTACTTTCAAACCATTGAGTTGGCGTCCATTTCTCTTTATTTTCAGCTTCAAATGATCTACGGTTACATGTGTAAATATAATTCAATTTTTTTGGTTGACTCTACGTGTCAATTTTTCACTAGAACTTCAAAAACTCAATCTCTAATAACTGCTCACTTGTAAGTGCGCGGTTGTTACTATTTTCTCGTAATTAAAACTAGTCATTTGCATCTCTGTGCTAATGTTGTATGGCATCTCGAACTGATGTACGTACGTACGAAGTTCTACGTTGTTACTGACTTTCAGAAACAAAACTCTTCATGTGTCCTGTATGTCATAGTTGCTATACTTCTAAAAGATTTTTAAAGATTCACAATAAATTTGTTCACAAAGGTCAGCAGTCAGTCATGTTTTCACTTAATTGTAAATTTTTTTTTCTACTTCTCTTCCCTCATTTTATTCACTGGTTATAGAGTTGTATATTAAGTATTTTCCCATTTTGATATGACAAATGAAAGGCGCAATCCTACTTTTTATTGTGTTTGCTCAATGTTTAGTATTACAGACTCATGTATTGATGTTATGACCAATGATGAATGTTTACGTTTGGTGTATGTGAGGTAATGATTGTGCTTAACTTATTTTGAATCTTATTCAGTAAACGAAAGTTGTAGGTGTATACACTAATGCGATAGAGTTCTAACTATGCTCCAAGGTTTGCCAGATTTTCCTGTTACCTTCTGATGTGATTTAGAATTTATATCAGATACTCCATTCCATAAGCTTGAACTACTTCTTGACTGGATTTTCTTTGAGGTCTTATTCTTTTGTAAACAAGATGATTTAATTGTAAAATATTGGCTGTTTTGGTGGGTAACGTCAATTATTCTTCTGTGCAAGTTCTAATTGTAATGCTCACTTTACCCGTTTGTCTCTTGATATTTACTTCATATCAAGCAGAACACTTATGATTGTAACATACTACGGTGTAACCAGTGTTCAGAAAATTCACATTCCTTACAGAACCTGTTCACCGATCGGTGCTAGCTTCAGTTTTCATAACTATCCGTGTTATCTAAGTGTGTGCGTTTCATTGCCGTCTCCAACAAATCGAAAAAAAGTTTGATAATTTATTTCGATAGTAATGTTGATGGTAGGAGGTTCTGTTCTTTTTACTGTTCTTTTAAGCCGCCCATTCTTACAATTTATTTACTAAATCATTTTGACGTTCATAGCAATAAAATTGTCGCATGATTTACTCAACAAGGATCTTTCAATAGAAACTACTCGTCATCTCCATATTAAGACTGTTCATGAAGGTGAGTGGTGTTTCATTTCCTCATATGTTTGTTTCATGTATTGAGTCAATTTTGATTGTTCATTGTTGTTTTTGTCTGAAGATTAATGTTTCTGTCTGTCTATATTTATTCTGTTGATTATTTATTGGTGAAGGATATATTATAGGGTTATTTTACTGCTAAGGAAAACACAAGAATACTCAAATTTTATCAACAATGCTGAAATCCCTCCAGAAACGATAACTGCTCGCACGTTTCTTCTAATTCAATTTTTCTCATTACCTTTGCCTTTTTCTTATTGGTTGTCATTGCTTTTAGTTCGGTAAATTATTGTATTTCATGGAAATCATGAACTAACCAATGTTTGATCACCACTGAAAACCTGGAAGCACTGGACGGCTGTTTCGTCCTGGTATGGGACTCCTCAAGAGTGCTCATCCACGGTTCCGCACGCGGGATATAAACCCAGAACCCTCGGTCTCGCACGTGGACGCCTAACTTCTAAACCACTGAGCCGTCGTCCGACGGTGTCACTATTAAGCTTCACTCAATTCATGATGTCTCGCGACCATTTTCGATTGTCTTCGGTGAGTAACTGTCTTTCACCCGACACGGATTTGACTCCACTAGTCACGGCTTCTTAACTAGAACTCGGAGGATTTCCTCTCGAAACTAGGCACTTTTGAGTACATGATACTTCCCAGTTGGGGCGCGCACAAGGCCGGGGATGCTGGGTTTGAATCTTGCGCACGGGATCGTGGATGCGCACTCATGAGGAGTAACATACTAGGATGAAACGACCGTCCAGTGCTTACAGGTTTTCAATGGTGGTCAAACATTAATCGGTCCATGATTTCACTGAAATTCAACAATCTCGACAACCCCAAACTGGAGATTGTTATATGCTTGAAGGTCATGTTTTGTCACTATAGGTACAGAGTTATGCCGACTCATTTTGTTCGGCTTGTCCTACTTCGAATATCAAGTTCTACACAATTCATCTGATTCCTGTGTCAGCCATCGGGTGTTAGTTAATGTTTTGTGTAAATTGCTGTTGTCGATCTCGAAAAGAACCGATCTTATTAAATGGACCCAGTCGTTGTCACTTGATCAGTAAGTACCATAGGCCCGTATTGAACCCCAATAATGAAATACAACACTTAAAATATTGAGTAAATAAAATTTTTGAACAATAGTCTTCTGCGTTATTACGTCTGTAACTTTATGAGAATTCTTATGTTTGCTTTTGTAAATATGAACTAATGTCATGCACCATTTCTGTTGAAAACAGTAAAATTAGCTTCTTAATATGTGATATTTAGTTGCAAATGTCATTCAAATAATTTTAATACTTATTTCGTGGTACTGTGGTGGTTTCGGGTTCCTATTTTAATTCCTTTTCGGAGTTTTTAACGTTGAACGCAATTGAAAATACGAAAATCCAAGTCATTAGTCTTCTTTTAGTAAATTTTCACTAGTTCTCGCCTTATCATTGTATGTTCGCTTCATGAATGTGCTCCATCATCTTTGATTTGTTCTCAGTATATTGCTACTCGGAATATTTCCTCCATAAAATGTCAGATAATTAAGAATCATCTCGCTTATTTCATGTTTGTTGAGTTTATTCATCGAGTGAGTGGTGAGTAAACTTGTTTTAATGATTTAATGAGAAACTCAAATTACCGAATCATTTAAATAAATACAACTCCAAAAGGCAGACGGTTATACTGAAACAACCCACGATGAGTATTGATAGTAAGCAGCTCTCTTGATGCTTCATCTACCTCCACTTGCAAATAAGCATTAGCTAGATCCAGTTTTGCGAAAAACTTTCACACACTCAGCATAGTAACACAGATCTGCGGGAACTGGCAAAGGATAATGATGCTGTTCCAGAGCTGCATTGAGACCTGTAGAAAAGTCAGCACATATACGTATCGTGCCGTTGGCCTTCTTGATAACAACTATAGGTGCTGCCCAAGCAGAGTAAGAAACGGGCGTAACAACTCCTTGTTGTTGAAGGCGATTCGATTCTTCATCCACTGTTGGTAATGTTGCATAAGGCATGGGTCTCTTTGGACGGAAAACAGGCTTAGCCCCAGGTTTCAACCGAAGCGTTGCTTTCATGGCAGAACACCGACCCAATCCAGGTTGGAAAATAGATGAAAGCTGCGTCATTAGCTTCTTCGTATATGCTTCAGGGTCATGTGGATGTTATACCAGGTGGAATATTGGTATTTAACTGGACATCAGCTAAGTTTAGCTGGTCGAACCAATCTAAACCAAGTAAATTTAGATCAGCTGGCGTTATATAACATACCCCAGTAAACGACCAATCTCGGAAAGTAATTCTACATTCCAATTGTCCTAACAAGTGAAGGTAATTACCATATGCAGTACAAGGCTTTTGTGTTGCAAGTAGAAGTAGATGAAGCATCAAGAGAGCTGCTTACTATCAATACTCATCGTGGGCTGTTTTAGTATAACCATCTGCTTTTTGCAGTCAAGACTGCCCCATCTATCTTTCAGCAACTAATGGATACCATCCTATCAGGTATCTCGGGCGCCGTGGCTTAGTTCGATGATATTTTAATTGTTGCGACGACATTAGAACAGCTACAGGAACGCACGACATTGTTACTGCTACGCATCAGTGTCAACGGGTTCCGGTTACGTCAGGAGAAATGCCAGTTTTTATTGCAGTCAATAAACTATTTGGGGTTTATTTTTGACGCTGACGGCCGCAGACTAGATCCTGAGAACACTCGAGCTATCAAACTGATGCCCACTCCCACTAATGTCTAGGCACTGCGTTCCTTCATGGGACTTGTTACCTATTATTCAGCGTTCGTTCCTTTGATACATGATATTCACGCTCCATTGAATCGTCTGCTGACGAAGAACAGCACTTGGAACTGGACTAATGAGTGGGATGCGGCGTTTTGTAAACTCAAGTCTATAATTAGTTCGGAATTGTTGGTAATGCACTACGATCCATCCATGCCGATCATTATAGATACAGACGCTTCAGCGTATGGCCTAGGTGCTGTTATTTCACATCAGTTTCCAGACGCGTCAGAAAAAGCTGTTATGCATGCATCCCGTACACTAACCCCAGCAGAAAAGAAATACAGCCAGAGAGAAAAAGAGGCTCTTTCACTTGTGTTTGCTGTTCGACGTCTCCACAAGTTTCTGTACGGTCGGAGGTTTACGCTTCTCACAGGTCACAAGCCTCTGCCCGCAATATTCGGTCGAAATCGGGCATTTCAGCCCATTCTACAAATCGTCTTCAGCGATGGGCCTTGGTACTTTCGGGGTATGATTTCAAGATCCAATACCGACGCACTCAACAATTCGGTCAGACACATGCTTTATCACGACTCATTAATCATCATTTGGCGGCTGAGGAAAACATGGTGATCGCATCTCTGTCAGCGGTAGACCACCCGGAATGTTATCTAACAACCACAATATGGGCATTGCCGGTGTCTGCAATAGACACACGAAACGCTTCCAGGAACGACCCGATCATCAAGATGGCGATGAGCTATGTCACCAACGGTTGGTCGTCTAAGAAGTTTGATGGTGACATGAAACAACTTTATCAGTGGCGGGATTCACTATGAATTGTAAACGACTGCTTGATTTTTGGAGAAAGAGTGGTTGTGCCAGAGTCCCTTAGCGCAAAAGTGCTGAAACGGTTCCACTTTGGTCACTCGGGGGTTAAACGAATGAAATCCATAGCCAGGAGTTATGCATACTGGCCCCTAATGGATCAACATATCACTGAGTTGGTTGGAAAATGCATTCGGTGTCAGCGAGCGGCAAAAGTGAATGCCAAAGTTCCGCCAGTTTCATGACCACAACCTGATCATCCTTGGTCCAGGATACACGTCGACTTAATGGAACTATGCCTTTAGTTGTGGTTGATGCCCTTTCAAAATGGCTAGAAATCAGCCTTGTAATGCCGCCCACAACTAAAACAATACAGCCCCTTACTGAAACTTTCTCCCGAAATGGCATACCAGATGTAATTGTATCTGACAACGGGTCGCAATTTACCTCTAGCTAATTCCAAGCTTTCTGTCAACGGCTAGCCATCAAGCACTTACACTCGCCACCATACCACCCGCAGTCGAATGGCAAGTGGAAAGGTTTGTGGATGCGTTTAAAAGAGCATTGGTTAGGTCGAAGGGGAAGGAAACACCAGCTGACGCGTTGCGAAATTTCTTGTTCGTTTATCGAAAAACACCAAATGAGACGGTACGGGAGCGAAAATCCCCAGCAGAAATCCTGATGGGAAGAAGACTGATAACGATCCACGGCCCGATGCATCCGAGTAATGTATCAACACCAGTACAGAAAAAGTCTGAAAAGCAATCCACATACGAAGTGGGATGTCCTGTGTTTGCCCGTGACTACAGAACAACCCATGGTCCATGGATAGAAGCGCGAGTAGTTAGAAGAATAGGCCGTGTCATGTACGAAGTAGAGGTAGGAGGCGATAGATGGTCACGCCATTGGAATCAGATACTCAAACGGTTAGCTCCAGACCGCCCATGAACATCCTGCTTGATACCTTCAACTTACTGATAGCCCCACCACGAGAAAAAGCCCAATTACAAGCTGATCTCCGCTCCAGAAGTTGGCCTCTCCGACAGCGGTGAACAGCAGTCAAGATGCAAGTTGACCCCAGAAAAGTACGCTATTGAAAAGGGGAGGTGTGTTGAGGACGTTAGATCCCCAGAATTCACTTGGAAAAGGTCCTAATTTTGTAATTTTATTCTGAAAATTTGAATTTCATGTTTTCGCTCCAAGAGACTCTTAGTTGACCTACAGCTTACATTTCCCACTCGGAAATCCTTGACTGTCATTGGTTGACGGATTTTTTTAGTACGCTGTTTTGTGGCTTTCCCAAAGGCGTTTCTATCACTTCATAAATAAACTTGATTTGTGTGCTTAGGACCTCATATTTTCTGGGTGCTTGTAGAATACATTCTCTACGCCTCATCAAGACTTCTTGATCTAGTTAGCAGGGTCGGGAACAATGGATTAGTATAGCTTATCGTGTCACTGTATCTTTGACCTTCGTTTCGCTTACCAATTAAGGTGAACTCGTAATAACATTCAAGCATATCAGTGAATTTCGTTCAAACACACAACATTTACTTGTGAATACAGATAGATTACAATGTAAAGACATGATTAGAAATTGGTGAGTTATCATTTCAGTTGTTCAGATTCTAGTGACTAATGTCACTGAGTACTCTATTTTAATAATTGATTTAATGTAGCGTATTCATCATGTGCAGAAACAAAAACTGTAATGAATTATCATTCGAAGGAATGCTCACAGTGATGTAATATTTCTTGTTGGATCCACTTTTTGAATGGCTTAAATATTTCCTCGATCGAAGCAGTGGCCCTGTTAATCGAACATAAATTACTTGATTGAATGTATGAGAAGTTGGCGCTTTTCTAGGTGTAGCAGTATCCGATGTTCTCTATTTTTTAAAAATCACTGAAATTCGTTCTCTCAAGTCAATTTCCGACCTTTCCATTATGTTTATATCATCTAGGTTTGTTGCAGCTCCACTGATATCTGATGTAATCTCATAACTGGCACTTCAATTACTGTTTTTTTAATGTGTTAGAGTGTCCCTGAGAATCCTCTAATTGTGATACTAGTTTTTTGAAGCCTGACTCAATGATACTCGCACAGTTTAAAAATCTGAACAGGCTATTAATAAAAAATCATTTTTTGATTGATAGAAATATTAAGAAATAATACATTTACCAATACGCTATTGTCTCTTGAATTTCATTTCATCAGAACTTTTACTGGTCGAATTGTAAAGATTTTACTTAATGTTGTTTTCTAAATTTCGAAACATGTATTGAAAAAGTTAGAACCTTTGAAACTATATTTCAGACTATTTTGTTTATACTTTTACTGTATAATTAGTGAATAACTGAACTAACATATTTCCACATTCTGTTTATTGTAATCTTCCGTTTGAGTCATTAACTATTAGTAAATGTCTTATTATTTCCGATTTGTTACAGACCAGTTATTTAAAGCACCCCGCGTTTCGCTGACATTTTTGACCTGTTTGTGTATATCTGTAATTTTTTGTCTTATGGTGCAATGTCTGGTATCTCATGAGTGCTATGGCTAAAATCTGGGATGGATGGTTGAAATAAGATAATAGTAGGAGCTTGGTTGTAGTCTTCTCTTTTTAACTCAAGGCTAGGAATAGAAGACGGCATATTTGTCGGACAAGCACTCGGGGCGGAAATTATTTTAGCTCATGATTAATTGTGTCGATCAGAACTTATCATTGGCTAAGACTGAGCGCGCTAGACTATTGGTGGAATAGCATACTCAGAGTAGAAAAGGATTATGACCGAAGTTCTGATTGGCGAACTCAAAAAGTTTTATTAGTTAGTTTCGCAGACATAGCAGTAACCGACATAACATTCATCTTCAGAGTAAGAGAGGTCTCTAGTCCGGCTTGATGGTTCGATGCATCATGCAATTTCTCGTCTTCCTTTCTTAACTATGGGAAGACGTTATTACATAAGTCATGACGATGGCTACTGGCTATTTTTAGGTTGAATCAGCTGGCATCAGTTACTTAATGTTGTTAAGTTGACTCTCAAAATCGGTGTGAACACGCGACCACGGCGTCTGAGGTTGTATCCTTGGTTGTGAAGTCAGTTCTGAAGTATGCTTCCCAGCTCGATAAGATCGGCTGCAGTGTCTGGCTTAATTCATGATCTTTTGGTCTATTCTGATCCGTTTACTTATCGTTATGCTATCACCTTGATGAACCTTCATTCGATTGGGAAACGTTAGCCGTGAATCAATAACGGACAAACCGTGTTTTTGTTGTTAAAGGTTATGTGATTCACCGTTGTGTGTTTTTGTTTGCTATCTATGGTTTATGTATTTTATAACTTATTGTCATGTCAAGTCTTGTCGCGCTTTTATTACATGCAGTCTTGATTATTGTAGCTCGAAACACGTTTGTTAGGTAGCTTCGAATGTGTACTCTAAAAAAGTGACAAATAGTACGCTTGGAGGAAATCCTATGTATATTGTGATCCATCAAACAGGTAGTGTACCTTTGTAACTGGCTTACTGAATGTTGAGAAATTCGTTTTTTGAAGCCAAAAATGGCTAGTTCGGACTTTGTGACTTCCGAAAATACAAAAATATCTGCCACATACTATTTTATGAACCTTTCTGATCAAAAACATGTTATTTAGTGCTTCGTTTTCTATCTGTTTATAGTTCTTGTTTTCGAGTGTTATTATTCATGTCGTATGTGTGTCTGTACCAGTGTTTTTAAAATTACAATAATATAGATACCATGCTGATATAAGATTTGGTCACTTTACATGATCACAGATACGAAGTTCGTGCTTCAATTTTGTTATCCTCTATGTATCAACTTGATTAGCTAATCTATCACAAAATAAGTTTTCATAATGCTTGAACTAGGAATCAAAAGTAATGTTATCATGCGTATCAAGATAAGAACTGCAATACATCATAATTGATTTGTTGGTTACTCAATTCAGGGTGCATTAGAGCTATATTAAATTTATATAAGTACATTTATCGATAACAACAATAATAATGATTTTTTTTATTAGGAATAAGATATCCATGTGTTCAATGTGATAAAACGTTTACAAGGAAATCTCATCTAAATAAACATGTGAAATCTATTCATGAAAGTGAGTTATGATGGTGATAATGATCTTTGACTTGCATATATATATACTAACACTAGACTGGGTAATATACTGCTCACTGGTCGGATACACTGCATGATTAAATTATTCGTTCAGATGACGTAATACGTAGACTACATGTTATCCGACTGAACGATTAAGAGCCGAATTATAGGCCAGAAAAATTATTCATTCACTCGAATTACAAACTGTCATTGCTTGAAATCCAAGTAGACATCTTAAGTGGATAAGTTTTAGAAGTGGAACATTCTTTTGTTACGTCTACTTGTTATTTGTCTGCGCTCACTGGCCAATGATTTGTTACTGCTGTCACTTGACAAATTTAACATATTTATAATATCCCATAGAGTATAAAACTGAGTGTTTGACGCTTCGTGACTTGGTGTTGGTTGCTTCGTCACTTAACTGATAACCGAATCAGGTCAGCTGAGGTTTATATAGTACAGTGAAACAAATTAAACATTTAACACTAACATAGATGTCTCTACTGATTTTACGTCATTCAGGAGAAAATTGATCCTAATTAAGACGTATTTGAACGCATTCTTGTGTGAGTGATTGTGAGATATGTCGTATTTGCATTGTGGTCTGTTCAATTTGATGTGCTCATGTTCAATAATGTAAGATTTCAACAAGTAAAATGGAGTTCTTTAGATAGATAGTTCAAGTTGCATGGATGATTGGCGCTTCTTTTCTACTGATCACAGTTATGTTTGGCAATATGCGAAAAGGTTCAGCTAATGACTTTTGTTTATAGTTAGAAAACCGTTTTTGAATTATCTTTGTATTTGTAATATTGATGTTATTGGTCGTTAAAAATATCATGTGATCGTACGGGTGTTCGTGATTTTAGTTGTGCTGAATTTTAAGTTCTTTTTGTTCTCTTAGAATGTAATCGTAAAGTTTTTAAACAAAGAATTGCCGATAATGCGAAAACTGAAATGCTTATTGGTTTATAATTTTATGATTATTGAATTAGTTCGTGGATATCTGAACTTTGTAGCTCAGTGAATAACTCGTCATTGTTTGGAGCGAAAGTTACTGTCTTCAAGTTTAAGTGTGAACATCAACAATGAAATATAAGCATATCCAACTGATGAGTCCCACATAGGACGAAGTTCACTACCTGATTTCCACTGTTATCTATTATCCAACTTGATTAAATACTTGTAACGGAAAAAATTATCGAAAGAATTCGTTGCGAATGCGTTTATGACAACGGAAAATTTATCAAGTAAAGTACTTGATTTTAACGAGAAAACTAATACTCATAAATATCTAGCACCTACGTCACCTTAGCTATTGATTAATTCATAATAGTGTTGTTTATTTCTTGTCAGGATTGAAATATGTGTGTAATCAGTGTAGTAGAGAGTTTACATCTAAATTTTATTTAATTGAACATATGAAAGTGATCCATGAGGTCGAGTTATGCTAATGATAATGGTATTTCACTACTTAGTTGTATGCTGTATGCGTTTTATCATGTCACATTCAATGTCTAATTTAAAATTAAGTTATTTTCGACATTTCGTAAACTTTTAATAAAATCTTGTGGTCTTAGACAGGGTTGCCCAATTTCACCACTCCTCTCTAACTTTTTCATCGATGATATTCTGACAATGCCTCTAAAGGGACTAAGTAATGATCTAGATGATCTATTTCCGGTCTTAAGCATGTGGATGACCATCTTCTTACTGTATAATTATAAAAAGCCGAAGTATATCTCTTTTAATCGGTTGGTAATCAGTGTATTTAGGTGTGACATATACTTTACACCTTCTAAATGCAAAATATTTCTTAAGACTAACTGGAGGTTGTGCGTGGCCTCACTCTTTGTGGTGAGGCATTGGAAATAGTGAATAGGTTTTTGTATCTGTGTACTTCTGTGAATACTGTTGGTGCCGTGGTAAGAGGAGATAAATTTGCTCATAGGGAAAGCCAGAGTGATGAATATAAATATGACCCATCTTTAGCACCGTCGTGTTGATTTGGCTGTAAAATAATGTTGTTTACATCGTGTCGGTGAAAGCAGTCTTACGCATGGTTATATACTGTGACCTCATCAAGCTGAGGTTGGATAACTCTTTAAGGCAGTAAAGCAGCGTTACAACCTCGTCTATCGCGAGAACGAGTGACTTCATTATGTTCATGCACCATTGATTGTTCTAAGATTCTAGTGCCGATTTGTGCCCCTAGTTTGAAATGATAGTGTTTCTGTTGCCTCAGATAAACTGTTTGTATCTGTCGGCTCGGTTTCACCGTCGGACATTTAGTATCTTCCGTTAATAAAAGCACTACCGACGTATGAAGATCGCTCTGCAGTTGTCGAGGTTGAGTCACTTTATTATTCAAGTTGCTTGGAGGTAGTGGGTGTCGGGATACCAGCTTAGCTTTCACTCAAAGTATTCTACCCACTGGTCTAATTTGGATAGAATAAATAATTTATCTATTTGTTTCCGAAATAGCTTCAGTAACAACTTGGTTTTTGATTCTTGTTTCCTTGATTAGTTGTAATAACTGTCTCTTGTTGTTTGTCGTCGCCAAAATCCAGTGGTTGTTAGTGAATATGTGATTCAAGTTGCTTGCCGATGGAGACGATTGTCATATTTACTAGTGTTTGAAAAAAACCCGAACTTCTTCAAAACAGACTTTTCTATCACTAACCAAACCGGAAGATATGTTGATATTTAAATAGTTGCCAGTGTCCTCTGAAGTTTACCATTCAGAATATGAGTTTTAGAGCTCTTGATTCGACCATACAACATTTTATGAAACATTTTTATTGCGAATGCATTAGCCAATGCTTCCTTCTCTACTCGCTCATAGTTTTTCTTAGCGGTCTTTATTTCTCGATCTGCGCACATTATGCTTTATTTGGGTCTGTTCCCTACATAATAAGTATAACTTCAAGTTTACTCATAATTTTTCTGTTGTGAAATTGACATGCTTATTTAAACTTGTTGGTGAGTTCATAAGTATTCCTTGGAAAAGTCTATAGGGATCTAGAAAGCTCTTGGAAACACTATCCGAGTAGAAGCTACTACATACAACATGGCTCCAAAGATTTCCAGAAGCACCCAAGGTTTTGTGTATCTCTATAATTAACATCGTTTTTCAGTACATAAACTAACCTTAGACGGAAGCGTTCTTTTCTCATGTTGCACCTTTTCTCTTGTCGATTTGCCTTGTAGATTTAGTTTAGAGTTATTAGAAGCGGCTAGAAAGTCGAAATTAGTGTTCATCTACCAAACTTATCAGAATTACATTTGTATTGTTGTATGCCATTACTAAATAACTTCAGATTATCATATTAAATTCGCTTTTAAAACATTTATCAGTGTTAAATAATTGTTTTTTCTTCTGATTATTATTAGGAAAAAACTATCCATGTTATCAGTGTGATAAACAATTTGCATCTAGATGCAGTTTAAATATGCCTGTAAAAGTTACTCATAAACGTAAGTTTTGGTGGTGGATAATGATTTGCACTACTATGAAACTGATTTACTGTATACATTCTCATTATTTCATATTGAATCACATTATTTTACATGTAAATAAACATTAAATTTCACGACCACTGCGCTAGGATCCAACGTTGTTAATGTCTAACTTCAACCAATCAATGGTATTGCGTGACTATTTTCCATTGTCTTTGGTAGATTATGCAATATCGTAGATTGATTGAAGTTATTCATTAACATCGTTGGATCCCAGCTCAGTGGTCTTAAAGGTTATTCGTTCGTACGAGACCGAAGGTCTTGGGTCTGAGTCCCGCGTGTGGGGTCGTGGATGCACACCGTTGAGGAGTCCCACACTGGGATGAAACGGCCGTCCAGTGCTTCCAGGTTTTCAGTGATGGCCTGGAATTGGTCGGTTCATGATCTCAATAAAAATCCAACAGTTTCCACAACCCTATACTCATAATTAAATTTCACGTTTACTTTTATAAAAATCCAAATGCTTTATACAATTTTATTTCTTTGTTAACTATGAAGTAGCGATTTTCGTGTGTAAAACACTCAAATTTGGAATCATTTTTCTTGTTCACAATTAATGTACCATGGTAAAAAGTGTTGAGTGATATATGTTATCATAGGATACGGGACTTCTAGCTTTCATAGTGTAAACGATATCATACAATTTTCTTGTCAGGTTTACCCGTGGTTTAATTTAAATACCACAAGTGCTGACAAATCGTGAAGTATTAGTTGTTTTTGTTAGTGAGCCCTCATTTATCAAACCCCTTTTTGACTAAACACTGAATTAAGGTGTTTTCTGATTTTGGTTAATTGTTTTATTTAAAATACATTATTATTATTATCATGACCTATGAAGTGATTAATTGTTGATATTTTTACCTTTATTAATTGTGACAACTGGTATCAATAAGGATTTATGAAATTTATACATGTGTATATATGCTGCATTTAATCTGTAGACATTTTTAAGTTGTTCGGTCGATATCAGAGACTATTGAATAGTGATTACTGTGCTAGTTTCTCAGCAGCTTCATTGTAGAACAATTGTGCGATATATGCTGTGTATATGTAGCATATTTTTTATATAGTGACAATCTATAATCATTTATCAAATGGTTTGTTTTCGTGTTTTATAAATTCTTATTATTTCTTTCACTAGGTTCGAAATTTACTTGTAATGTGTGTAACAAAGAGTTTGCTTTTAAAGGAAATCTAAATAGACATCACAAGAGTATTCATGAAGGTTAGTTTTTATGTAATTTTTTTTCGTGTTCACCTTGCGTACATATGTATTAATGTTGGTCCTATTCGAAGGTTTCATTAAATGATAGAGAATCCTGGAAACAATTTTCTTTTGGAAGCAACTACATGATAAAACCATTTCATTTAAGTGAATAATGTGTCAAAGTACACTGTAAAAGATGAATTTTATTAGTGTCTGAATGAAAAGTAGGTATGACAATGAATGGTGAGATTGTATATAAATCATCCTTGACAATTGATAAGTGTTCTAAGTGAACTCTTGCATCAGTTTCCTAAGCTTTTCTAATAACCTCGGGTTCGAAAAGGAGAGAAGTGTACAAAAACACTGTACTCTGAGGTTAGTTTATGTACAGAAAATCGAGGATGTTTATAGTATTTCAGACGACCTTGGGCTTCTGGAAGGTCCTGAAACCTTACTAAACATGGTAACAGGTTAGGTAATCGTTCAATCAGGAATGTAAAACGTGACTTCTCACTTTCTACATGTTTTTCAGTAACTTCAGTTCAACGCTGATTGGGTAAAATGTTTTCCAGTGTTTTTAATGCCCATCTGGACTTTTTTCAATGAATAATTAAGATCGTTCCAACAACAATATAATTTTTATACGTTTTAGATCTTAGGGTTTCCAATCATAGTCTCCTGTTGTTAATGTTCAACATTTTTGTATGGTTAAACAGATGTAATATAGTGTATGAAAGGGATCAGTGTTGGTTGTTTTCTATTTTTCTTTTTGATTCGTAAAATAGATATTGAAGCTTTTGTTGTATTGTCAAAGTACTTCATTATGATTGTCTTCATCCCTTATATAATACTCATTGAATTAAGGTCTACTTGAGTGGTTCTAGTTTTCCATATAGTCTTTTATTCAGATAATATTTTTCCTAAAAACAATTTAATCCACTCATATATAACCTAAAATAATACTGGTATTGAATTTATAAAAATACGTTGAATATCAACTCCGGCTGGAGTCCCTCCGGGGGCTACTGCCGGTCCCAAGCCTAGATAAAGGAGGAAGGTTGGGCATATGGTTAGCGACCCCATCCCGTAGAAAACTAACTCGCTAAAAAAACGCTAACCATAAAAAATTATTCGAACCTTTTAAACTGTGCCCTGGTAGTCAGAAGGTCTTCATTTAGAAGAACTATGACGCCTCATGATGAAAGCCGAATTCCTTCGGAAGTCACGAGGCCGATGCCCCTTCTGACAACCAGAGCAACCATTTATTTAGGTACATGGAATGTTCGTACAATGTGGGACACCGGAAGAGCCTTCCAAAATGCTGCAGAAATGAGGAGATACAACCTAGAGGTGCTTGGGATCAGTGAAACACATTGGACGCAAGTTGAACAACAACGACTAACTTCAGGAGAGCTCCTGTTATACTCCGGCCATGAAGAAGTAAATGCCCCACATACACAAGGAGTTGCATCGATGCTGTCCAGACAAGCACAAAATGCACTTATAAGATGAGAATCTCATGGACCAAGGGTCATCAAAGCCTCCTTCGAAACAAAGAAAGAGGGCATTTCAATGAACATCATCCAATGCTATGCGCCTACCAACGACTACAATAAAGACGCTAAAGATCAATTCTACGATAGGCTGCAGTCAATCATCGAGAAGTGCCCAACAAAGGACCTGACCATTCTGATGGGAGATTTCAATGCCAAAGTTGGAACGGACAACACTGGATATGAAGACATCATGGGACGACACGGACTGGGAGACAGAAACGAAAATGGTGAGAGATTTGCAAACCTATATGCCTTCAATAAACTGGTCATAGGCGGCACCATATTCTCACATAAACGCATACACAAAGCCACATGGACTTCACTGGATCACACCACGCAAAACCAAATCGACCATATCTGCATCAACAAAAAGTTCAGGAGGACGATGGAGGACGTGAGAACCAAGAGAGGAGCTGATATAGCCTCAGATCATCACTTGCTGGTCGCCAAGGTGAAATTGAAACTCAAGAAGCACTGGACGATGGGGCGGACAATATCACAAAAGTTCAATACGGCCTTTCTTCAGGATACTGACAAACTCAACAAATTCAAGATAGTTCTCAGCAACAAGTTCCAGGCCTTTCATGATCTACTCAATGGAGAAGGAACTACTGTGGAGAGCAACTGGAAGGGGATCAAAGAAGCAATCACTTCAACATGTCATGAGGTTCTGGGCCACAAGAAGCACCATCACAAGGAATAGATCATTGTTGATATATTGAATAAGATTCAAGAAAGGAGGAACAAGAAAGCAGCAATCAATACCAGCCGAACAAGAGCAGAGAAAGCCAAGGCACAAACTGAATACGCAGAAGTAAACAAACAAGTGAAAAGGGGTATCAGAACCGACAAACGTAAATATGTGGAAGATTTAGCAACGACGGCGGAAAAGGCTGCAAGAGAAGGAAACACGAGACAATTGTATGACATGACAAAGAAACTCCCTGGAAATTATGGTAAACCGGAGCGACCAATGAAAAGCAAGGAAGGCAAAGTAATCACCAACATTGAAGAATAACGAAACAGGTGGGTAGAACACTTCAAAGAACTCCTGAATCGACCAGCCCCACTGAACCCACCCAATATCGAAGCAGCACCCACGGACCTCCCAATCAATGTTGGCCCATCAACAATTGAAGAAATCAGCATGGCCATCAGACAAATCAAGAGTGGCAAAGCAGCAGGACCAAACAACATTCCAGCAGAGGCACTGAAAGCAGACGTAGCGGCAAGCGCAAGGATACTCCACATTCTCTTCAATAAGATTGGGGATGAGGAACAAGTACCGAAAGACTGAAAAGAAGGACTTCTGATCAAAATACCAAAGAAAGGCGATCTCAGCAAGTGTGATAACTACAGGGGCATCACTATTCTCTCAATACCGGGTAAAGTCTTCAACAGGGTATTGCTAAACAGGATGAAGGACTGTGTAGACGCCCAACTTCGTGACCAACAGGCAGGATTCCGTAAGGATAGATCCTATACAGACCGAATCGCAACTCTACGAATCATTGTGGAACAATCAATTGAATGGAATTCATCACTCTACATCAACTTCATCGACTACGAAAAGGCATTTGATAGCGTGGACAGAACAACACTATGGAAACTTCTTCGACACTACGGCTTGCCTCAGAAGATAGTCAATATCATACAGAACTCATATGATGGATTACACTGCAAAATTGTGCATGGAGGACAGTTGACAAAGTCGTTCGAAGTGAAGACCGGTGTCAGGCAAGGTTGCTTACTCTCACCCTTCCTCTTTCTCCTGGTGATCGACTGGATCATGAAGACGTCAACGTCTGAAGGGAAGCACGGGATACAATGGACATCTAAGATGCAGTTAGACGATCTAGACTTCGCAGATGATCTGGCCCTTCTATCCCAAACGCAACAACAAATGCAGGAGACGACCAGTGTAGCAGCAGCCTCAGCAGCAGTAGGTCTCAATATACACAAAGGGAAAAGCAAGATTATACGATACAACACAGAATGCACCAATCCAGTCACAATTGACGGAGAAGATTTGGAAGATGTAAAATCAGGAAGAAGTGCTGGAAGTGGATAGTTCACAAATTGAGGAAAGCACCTAACTGCGTCACAAGACAAGCCCTCACATGGAATCTTGAAGGCCAAAGGAGAAGTGGAAGACCAAAGAACACATTACGCCGGGAAATGAAAATAGACATGAGAGAAATAAATAAGAATTGGATGGAACTAGAAAAGAAGGCCCAGGACAGAGTGGGTTGGAGAATGCTGGTCAGCGGCCTATGCTCCATTATGAGTAACAGGCGAAAGTAAGTAAGTAAGTACGTTGAATATTGTTAGTAGTTATCACACTGTTTTTTTTCTTCATCATCAGGAATGAGATATACATGTAATCACTGTGATCGAAAGTTTAAAACAAACTCTGATTTAAATGAACATGTAAAAGTTATTCATGAAGGTGAGTTATGATGTTCTCACTTTACATTTAAAACGTTTTCACATTTTCTTTCTACTTAAACGTATGACAATTTTCATCGATTTCATTAATTAATAAGTAATGAAATGGTGTTCTATAGTATAAAATATAAGATTTCCAAACATTTTTTGGTGAAACTATAATTTATGGACAACCTTTGAGCGACACTAAAGTGACCTTGAGAGTGTCTATCTACTTACTAGGGCTAAATGAGGGTTATAAAGCAGTTTAAAGAATAAGGATTATAATTTACAGTTGATGGTTAGGGTTAGGGTTTTCATCACGAACTGATATCAGCTACAATGACAAGACACTATTTAGCCAAATAGGTGAATGAATTTCGCGCCAAAATCTCAGACGTTTTATCGTAGATCTGATTGGTTCGTTCATAAATTATAGTCTCGCCCATTTTTCTATCATTCACAATTTCATGTATTAGATTTATCGTGTCAAATAAATTGCGTTATATTAAGATAAGGGAATTTTAGTTTTCGTGATGAGGACGGTATTTGTGAAATACTGAATGTAAGAACCATTGGTTGATATTTCCAATTTCAGTACAATTGTAATATTGCACGATAATCATTCATAAACTGTTTCAATTTTGATATAATACAAAATTTCTGGTTATTATTTCTTACTGAAAAGTTAAGAAATTACTTCATACAATAACTTAGTGAATTCAAGTTATTGTGATATGACACCCTAAAAGTTTACATTTTTTTCAGGTTTTTATTGATTGATGATTATGCGACCTTATTTTCAAATTGTAGAGTTTGTATCAGAAATTGTGGAATACAAGTTATTTCATTGTAATTCTTACTGATTTGTTATAGTGCTGAACTGTCAATCTCTCTGAGTGTCTTTATTTTTCATACATTAAGTTACATTTATCAATATATTTATTTAAATAATATATGTGTAGTTTGTAAACCAATATTATATATGCTATGATGGGAAGTGTCCGAAATCTGATACAGATGCACGATATCCTACTCTCTAACCCCCCACCTGACTACTTAAGCGAGAACACAAGAGTGGCCCAGAAAGTATATTAAGCTACCGAACAATATACATGAATACACATTTATATATATACCCTTTAGAAAACTAATCATGTTCTTAGCCGGTATATGCACTTGTCCTTCAGGTCACTTCTGATCGTCATCGTGTAATCTTCACGTTTGGTCACGTCTGACTGGCTTACTATATCAACATCACTTTAAATATTGATATTAAGTTTGCTTAAGTAAATTCACTAATATTAACGATTATCTTTTCATTAGGAATAGTATATCGATGCGATCAATGTGATAGAAGGTTTTCATCTAAATCCAACTTAAGGGAACACCTGAAAAGGGTCCATCCAGGTGAGTTTTGATGATGATAATCATATTTCATCATGCAATTATATGCTGGATTACACTTTCATCATATCATAAGTTAACTTATACTTTTCATTTAAATCACTTTTATATATGAAATAATTAATTTATTGCCTTTATTCAGTATTGTTCCATTGAATCGTTTAGCTTGAAGAATTATGAGACTATCATTTATTGCATAAAACATTCTGAATTCATCTATTGGATCACATATCCAACTCAGTGATCGACACTATTAATTCAAGCACATTATGTAAATTTTAAAGTCTCATAAATTATTACATTTCTGTTTGGATTATCTTCTTGAATGATTAATTGTTTGTTTTGTGAGATGTTATCAAGGAGTATTACTCAATTTTACTCATATGACGTGCACGAATAGCAACATCGATTGGTGATTGTTGTGATTAACGTTAAATGAAAATGTAAAAAAAATTGATTTAGTAGTAATAAACACATTTAACATTCTACTAACTCCAATTCTTAGCTATTTCATCTTAGATCCACAGTCACTAATGTTGACTGTCCTCATAAATGTTCTAGTGAATAAGCAAAGATGGATATTGGCTAGCAGTGGAATTTAGGACACGCGTTTCATCCTAGATTCTACTTTTAGCCACTAACCATCTTTGCTTAAAAAGCTTGTAACTTAAGGCAATCTGCACAGAATGCACATGCCAACAAGAGACTGATCAATTACAGTCCTAAATTACAATAGGAAGATACAAGTAAAAAACAACACAAAGTAAATGTTTCAGTGAATGTTTATCACATTTTTCAGATGATATGTGTCACAGAATCATTATGGGCTTATTTTACTATGACTGGGAATAGAGATAAATTGATTTATTATTCCACTAAACTTAATAGTTATTATTTTTTCCTTTTGCAATAAAATATACTTTTAGGGGTGAGGTTTAGTTGTGAACAATGCAGTAGAAAATATTTAAAAAGAAGTAAATTGAATAAACATGTTATAATGGTTTATAAAGGTTATGATTGAGTAAAATATCAAATATTATTTGTTATTTTGTTTTTGTAAGAGATTTATGTAATATAGATAAGAGGTGGTTAGCAACGGAATCTAGAATGAGATCATGAACTGATTGATGTTAGATCACCATTGAAAACCTAGAAGCACTGGACGGCCGTTTCATCCTGTTGTGGGACTCCTCAGCAGTGCGCATCCACGATCCCGCTCTTCTGGTTTTAATATCTTCCATTGACCTGAATTTTTTTTACTTATGCAAATATGATCTTTTTGGTTCTGCGTGGTGTGGTTCAGTGAGATCCATGCAGCTTTGCGTATGTGTTTATGTGGGAATATAGTGTCGCCTATAACCATTTTGTTGATTGCACATAGATTAGCGAGTCTCTGACCATTCTCGTTCCTTTCTCTTAGTCCATGATATCTTTATACCTGGTGTTGTCCATTTCGACTTTGGCGTTTAGGTCTCCCATCAGGATTGTCAGGTCGCTATGATTGATTGCAGCCTCTTGTAAAACTGATCTTTATCGTTGTCGTTGCTATCACTGGTGAGTGCATAATAATGGGTAAAATTCATTATGATTCCCTACTACTATGTTTGGAGGGATTTTTTGATGATCCTGAAACCATGAGATTCACATCCTATAAATAGATTTCGTGTTTCTTCGGACAATATCAGAGCAACTCCCTAAGTGTGTGGAGCATTTTCCTCTTCTTGACCAGAGTACAGCAGCACTTCTCCCAAATCTGTCTTTTTTTGTCCTGCTTGAGTCCAATGGGTTTCGCTGATTCTGAGGATCTCCAAGTTGTATCTCCTCATTTTCGTAGCTATTTGACTGGTCCTCCCGGCCTCTTACATTGTCCGGATATCCCATGTACCCACGTTAATTGTTGCTCTGGTTGTTAGGAGGGGCATAGGCCTCATGAAGCCCATGAAGCATTATAATTCTTTATTCAACCCGGAGGACAGAGTTTAAATGGTTTAAATAGTTTATTCTGTTTAGCGTTCTTTTAACAAGGTTGTTTTGTATGGGATCGGTTTGCAGACCCCACTCCCAACCCTCCTTTGTGTGGGCTTGGGCACGCAGTAGTCGTAGAAGAGCTACAGGCGGAGTTGATGTATTGTATGTGTTCTATATTTCTGTTACTCTTAAATATTTTCTGTGGTGATTTACTTTAAAAACCAATTCTTTTTAGGAGAAGAATTTTCATCTGTTTAGAACGATTATATAATCTATTGAAGGATGTCGACTGAAAGAATCTTATATGCGAAGGTAATTGAAATTAACTTAGATGTGTAAATGGTCATTGTTAAATGTGATGTGTGAAAATAGTATATCAGTATGACCGATATTACAGTATTTTAGCTGGTTGATACACTGTTAATTATTTCTTGTTAAACTAATCCGTTTCAAATTCTAAATACAAAACAATTCTCTGTAGCATTAATCTTGTCATTTTTCATGATAGTGCTATCTTAAGTATTTTGAAAATGAATGCTTAAAAGCAAAAGTTTGACTGAAACACTAATTAAATGAATATTTATAGGATTTATGAAAAGTTTTCGAATGTCTTGATGATAAACTTCGAAAACATCCCTTTATTATTTTTAACTTCAAGTGTTAGTCTCGTTAGACTAACTGTTAAGTTGCTTTATTTATAAGGATTATATTTTCGATGTGATGAATTGTTATTTTATACAACAGTGAACTGAAGAATTACGCCAAAATCTCATCTCAATTAAAAAGATTTAAAGAGACCAAATTTCTAACTATCTGACTGACTGTTATAACTTGTCAATTGAATGCTACTTGTTATATCCGGTTGTCGCTGATTGTTGTGTCGGAAACACTTATCACTTATACTCGGAACGAGGGACCTCCGCAATTCCAACGACGTGAGAGTAAGAACATAAAGACTGGTATACGTGAAGCTTTATTAATCCTCGAAACACGACGACGACGACGACCCTAGTCGAAATTACACTCATTTATATATTGATTGTACACACACTTTGACTAATAATTAGGATGAAATCATATATATGAAAAATACTTAGAGTTATAACAAATCACAGACTGAGCATAGTTCATGCCAATGAAATATACAGAATAAAATATCATACGAGAAGACAAAACAACTACTACACTGAATGATCACCACATTGAAGCAGAACAGAAGTTATCTTGAACAAAACTCATAATGAGTAAATCAATCGAATCTTGACTTTTCTTCTCATCATATCACTGACCATATTAAGAAATTCTATTTATCTATTGATGGTTTACTGTTAATGAGTTATATATCACATAATAGATGGCTAAAAGACAAATGTTTCAATTGAATCAATGTTTTCTCATTTCTGTTCTTTCTAGTCAATGTAACTGTAACCTTTTAAACCTAAAGGTTTTTACTTGTCATTACTCACTGTTTCACTCTTAGTAATTATTGATTTTGAACAATTTGAAGGTGTGTTATTTTTACTGTATAACCTATATTTCACGTTATCTCAACGGTTCATAATATCTCTTAATTTTATAATGTGTCATGCATATTGTGATATTTAATTGTCAACAGCTAACTGATGTTCCCTTTTTTTTTTTAAAAAAACTTCAGTTATCTTCATTATTTAGTGACTGATGTTTGAAGTCTTCGTTATCTAACCGTCAGGTGTAATGTTGTTGCTGAAAGAGAAATACTCCTTTTCTATACAACGATCATAATAGAATGAAAAATTTAGTTTCTCATTTACTTCAATAATTTATTTTTATTCATTGTATGTATATCAAATGTATCTTTTGTATAATATTTATTATTTTTATTTTATATAATCTTGATTGTACAGATAAAGTTATTATTTTTACTGAGTTTATGGTTACTACTTTCTTTTGTTTACATGTGCGCCTGGGTAACGTATACAATATTCTTTTCTTATTTTATAAATCCATACAAATCATATCGTTTCAAAGTGTAAAATAAATAAGCTGTATTGATTTTCAACTAACTATTTTATCAGGTACGACTTTTTGATCTGACGTTGTTAATCGCATTCTATCGTAAAACATTATTAATCCAGGAAGTAAATGAAATTCATAGAGATGAAGAGAAATAGTAGTCAGATTCAGCTGTGATTGTAATAGATTTATTGATCACATTATGTATATATAATGTAGTTGAAATAGAACTCAAATATTTGAAATTGTGCCAAAAACCAAACCTCTAATTAGTTATGCTGAATATAGTTACTTGAATATCAATCATTTCCACAAATAATTTCTCAGTAGGTGTGTAAACATTTTTAGCATAAACATTGTCTATAGAAATAAATCTATTCTTTTTCAAAGTAATAAAGAGACTGTCTTTTAGATCAATCTGTATAATCCAGTACCTACTTACAACATTTTTAGTTTATGTAAAGCGAAATCATTTTATTCTAAATCCGCTTTGTATAGAAATCACTAAGCAAATAAATTTTTGAGACTGGACTGATTCGCTAGTTTGTTCATGAAACGAAGTCAGTTCTGTCGTTCGTACGCTTTATCGACGATTACATCCCTTCGGATACTTGAAAATTCCCTCATCAGTGGTACTTGTACAATTTGATAATTGTTTTTTACATACTTAACTACATAGTTTCAATATATTACATATCTTTGAGTTCGTTCTATTCTCTGATTTCAGTTCAGGTTCGGACTTGATTATCAGAATACGAGCTGGTTAGCTCGGGGAATTACATTAACTACTATGAACACTTCGAATGGTCATAGTGGTATCAAGAAGGAAGCTATTATTATACCTTAAGATATAAATTCAAATGCTAATGTCTGAGTATTATGTAGATTTACACCTGTTGCTCCTCGTGGAGGAGCATAGGCCGCCCACCAGCATTCTCCAACTCACTCTGTCCTTGGCCTTCTTTTCTAGTTCCATTTCTCGGCGTAATGTGTTCTTTTGTCTTCCTCTTTTCCTTTGGCCTTGAGGATTCCATGTGAGGGCTTGTCTTGTGACGCAGTTGGGTGCCTTTTTCAATGTGTGTCCTATCCACTTCCATTGCTTCTTCCTGATTTCTTCCTCCACTGGGACCTAGTTTGTTCTCTCCAATAATAGGTTGTTGCTGATGGTGTCTGGCCAACGGATCTGAAGTATTTTGCGTAGACAACTGTTAATAAACACCTGTATCTTCTGGATGATGGGTTTCGTAGTTCTCCAGGTTTCTGCCCCATACAGTAGAACTGTCTTGACATTTGTATTGAAAATCCTGACCTTGGTGTTGGTTGACAGTTGCTTTGAGTTCCAGATGTTCTTCAGCTGTAAATATGCTGCTCTTGCTTTGCCGATCCGCGCTTTCACATCTGCATCAGATCCACCCTGTTCATCAATGATGCTGCCCAGATATGTAAAGGTTTTTGCATCTTCCAAATCTTCTCCGTCATTTGTGACTGGATTGGTGCATGCTGTGTTGTATCGTATAATCTTGCTTTTCCCTTTGTGTATATTGGGACCTACTGCTGCTGAGGCTGCTGCTACACTGTTCGTCTTCTCCTGCATTTGTTGTTGCGTTTGGGATAGAAGGGCCAGATCATCTGCGAAGTCTAGATCGTCCAACTGCATCCTAGATGTCCATTGTATCCTGTGCTTCCCTTCCGACATTGTCTGATAATAACAAGAAAAGGGTTATTGGTTCAGGTGAATCATCAATAAGTAAACTGAACTATGCATGAGAGCCAAAAATTCAGTTAATTCAATGTTTATGAGAGTTGGGTTGAACATTGATAATATTGAGACATTGTTATATTTGTGTTCTATGTAAGGTGAAGTGACGTCTTCTTTTTCTTCTTCTCCTGCTTCACATGAATGATAAAATTACGAAGAATATGTTATGATTTAGCATCACACGATATTGAGATATTATGACTGTTCATCCTACAGTTTTGTGAAAACACTGCATACTTTGTACAAATGTGACCGTATCAAACATTTTCGACGAGATGAGATTGGCATACATTTCATCTTCCTTTGACCTCAGATTTCTGAGTAATGCATGAACTTTTGAGTCAGTCACAATTATCTTAAATAGATCTTCAGTTCTATCACTGCACTCATAGAGCCTTACCATGAATTTCAAACTGTTAAAGTTGGTGACTTAATTTTTCCACTGTGTGAACGTCATCACATCTGAGCAATCTGGTTTCGAGACTATTTCATGAACATTTGCCATATCAATTGATTCATCATAGTATTGAGTCGAGATTCTACGTTCTATGTATGATTTGTGAGAGCAGCCGACATGTGCTACAATGACATCTGAAATGTGATCAGAATGTGACTCATTTAAAACATATTTTTCACATTGAGGTTAAATGTATTGTGAGGAAAAATAACATTTTATATGAGACCATAAGAACCACGATTATGTTTGGCTCTATTGTGATGTTGATTTCAACAGAATATTATGAACAAATCTACTTATAATTAGTTGCAATTCGATTTAAAATTGATAGCGTGGTTGCGAATGCATTTGTGCGGGTTTGTATGGAGTAAGAGTGTTCGATTCTGTCCTGTTGTTGAAACATTTCTTGGGAATTAACTTAAGTGCGAACGTCGTTTAATCTGAATAAGTCATAGAATCTAATGAACAGGGAAGTCTCATTTCCATTTAAATGCAGTGACAGAATGATATCCATATTTTTGTTGACAGTCAGCCCGAGTGATATGACAAAGTGAATAAATAAATAGGATTTCTAGATAAGGCGTAACAAAACAAATGTCAGTTACCGTATGTGCTTAGATGATCGCTAGACGTTGTAACAAGAATGCTCACTTGCTAGTCTGAGTTAATCTCAAGAGAAGATAAGAGTCTGTTAAATAATTTAACATTCACAAACGCGAACCTTCGGTAACGTAACGTTGCGATAGAGAAATAATTTTTATCTGAGTAAAGTATTTTAACTAAGCGTGAGTGTTTAATGATGATGGCTCTAACAGAGTTCAATGTGAATAGATGAATTCATAGTTTATTAAATGTGTGAAATGCAAAGTTACTTTGGCGATCCCAATATGAATTATAAGTATTCGCAGCATAAGATATTATCACCAGTCTCAACTTAGCAGGTTTGGCCTGTTGACTTGTTTGGAGATCTGTACTTAAGGCATGTATTTTGTTGATCCAGAAAGATTCAGATATCTGTCAAGTCTCCATGAATAACTATTTAGAAAGAAC